AAGAAACAAAAAGCACTTACTGAACAAGAAATTAATGCATTTTGTAATAAATTTGACTCATTTGAATGTTGTTCAACTTTGCAATGTACAAAAAATATTATTAATTGTGAAATTGCAATAAAAAAATGGAAAAATATTCAAATGATGTCAAAAGATGAAAAAAATATGTTTTTATTAGGTATTCTTAATGCATTAGCTAGAAAAGAAACTACAAAAAATAATATAAACAAGAAATATTTAACAAATAAATATCAATTTGATAGAAATCATATTTGTTCTAAAGCTTTTTTATTAATATATGATGTTTCAGAATGGAAATGGAAATCAATTCATAAACATTTTTTAGAAAATGATATTTTACCAATTACTTATCAACTTAAAGGAAAAAATAGTAATAACAAAATTTCATTTGAAATAATTATAAATATTTTAACATTTATTTCAAATTATACTAATATTCATGGACTTCCATCTCCTGATCAGTATAAATTTTTTTAAAAATTATTTAATTTTAATTATAATAATAATAATATTATTATTTTAGGTCATCATTTTAATGAAGAAACAAAACCTATTATTTTTCTTCTAGCAACTGATAGTTATTTAAGTTTATTTTGTTTATATAATTCAACAATTTCAAATACTACTAATATATCAATTAGTTCAACTAGTTTTATTAATATTTGGAAATTATATCTTCCAAGTATTAAATTTCTTTCACCTTGAAGTGATTTATGTATTAAATGCAAAACTATGCGATTTAATATAAGTCATATTCCAGAAGCACAATTAGAACAAATAATAAATGAATGGACAATTCATAATAATTGGGCAAAACAAGAAAGAGAATATTATAGGTATATTAAAATATTATATTTATATTATTTAATTATATTAATTTTATTTTTTAAATAATTTTTAATTTTTAGAAATTGTATTATAAATTCAAAATTTACTATACCCAATACTATTCAATTTTTACGACCTAATATTCCTAATAGTATTAATATTAAAAATCATATTTCATGGGATTTTGCTGAAAGTGTTCAATTGCCTTATTCATCACAACAAGAAGTATATATATTTTATTTTATTTTATTTAATATTTATAATAAATTTTTAATATTAATTATTTTTAGAGAACTATATATTTTAAATCTTGTTATAAAGTTGCAGTATTTGGTATATGTGAAGAGGCTTTTCCACGTCATGTAATTTTTATATAATATAATATATAAAATATATTATAAATAAATATAATTATATAAAAAAATATTAAAAGCTATAATGTTTATTTTAGTTTAATATAATAAATTTTAAATTTTAATTTAATAATTTATAAAACTTTATCTTTATAGGTTAATTATTTAATTGAAGAAAAAGAAATAGTTGGAAAAGGAGCTAAGACAGTTATTTTATTAGTACATCATTATTTTGAAAATCATAATATTGGAGAAAAACATTTAATTATACATGCTGATAATTATGCTGGACAAAATAAGAATAATGCAATGATTAAATATTTAACTTGGAGAGTAATGACAGGACTTCATACAACAATTACATATTCTTTTATGGTAGCTGAACATACAAAATTTTCACCTGATAGATTTTTTGGATTATTTAAATTAAAACTTCGTAACTCAGAAGTTGATGATTTAGAAGATTTAGCACAAGTTGTTAGAGATTCAACATTAAATAATTATAATATACTACAATTAATTGTTGAAAATGGACAGCGTAAAGTTAAATTTTTTAATTGGACATTATTCCTAAATAATTATTTTAATACAGTTTCTCAAATATTAAAACATCATTTTTATTTTAGTAATAATAATATAGGTTATGTATTTATTAAAACAGCAATTAATGCACCTGAACAAAAAATTAATTTAGTTAAAAATAATCAAAATTTACCACCTATAAATTCTTTTTCTACACAAAAATTTCCATTAGGATTATCAGCTGCACGACAATAGTATCTATATAAAGAAATAAGAACACATATACAAAATCCTTTAAAAAAAGATAATTTTTGTTCTTTATCACTAGTTTTAAAACCTAAAAATACTATTAAATAAAATACTTACTATTTTTAAATTTATTAAATATTATTTATTTCTTATGCAGATGAGAATAAAAGGTAAATCCTCTCAATTAGCTGAGGCTAAAAAGCCTGATTTACTGAATTATTTCTTCACAGTAAAATTAAAAATATTATTCTTTGTTTTATATAATGTTGTAATAGTATTTTTTAATTCAAATACTTTAACCAATATAAAAAAATAATTACTATAATATACTAATCAAATTATCTAGGGTTCAATACAATCTAATCAAAAAAACTTATAAAATATCTATAGATATCTTGATCAGTGACAGATATCTTGATCAGTAATAGGTATCTTGTATGAAGGATATTTTATAAATTATATATATATAATACAGAAATCAATACATATTAACATGAACAATGTCATGTAAAATATTCAGATATTATCCTAAAATAAAAAAAACTGTTATACAAAGTATTCGGATATTTTGAGTAAGGGGTACACAAAAAGAAAATACTTTGGTCAGTGCACTATGATATAAAAAGACAATTGCAAAATGAATTTTTACTTGAACAATATATTCATATTAAAAGAATTTAAAAAACTTCATCTTTAATTATAATAATACAATTGCACTAACTTAAAGAATTATAAAAGATCTTTGCTATAAAAGATCCTTGCTCTAAATAACTATCATGTTTTATAAAATAATTAGGAGAATTTTAAGATCTTTATTTAAGTAATACTTACAATGGCTAAAGAATTTTAAAAATTTACCAAAAATAAAATCACAATGCAAACTAAATTATTTTCAAATATATAAATATTTAAAGTGCACTAGACAAATAACAAGAAATAACAAGAAAATAATAAGTAATTCTAGAGAAATAATAAGCAATTCTGAAAAAATAACAATCATTACTTAAGAATTGTTTTTTACTAATTAAAGTAGTAATTATAAATTGAAAAACCTATTATGCGATCATATAGAAACATGAAATAATTAAAAATAAACCTAATTGTAACAACTATTACATAATCTCAGAAAATAGTCCGAACTAATTAATTTATTTTTATTAAATATTTTTTATAAACAAATATAAAAAAATCTCAAAAAAAAAAACATTATCCAAAAAAAAAATCTAAAAAGATCTTCCAATTGCCAGAATCTTAATTAGTTTCTCCTAGCAATTGGTAATCCTTTCTAAATTCTTAAAGAATCTAAAAAGAAACACCAATTGCTAAAAGAACCAAAAGTCATCAGAAGAACCTTCAAAAGCCACCAAAAAATGCCAGAAGTACCAAGAATCCAGAAAAAACCACCAAAAAGTTGTTAGAAGAACCTCTGAAAGCCACAAAAAAAAAATACAAGAGTCCAAGAATTCAGAAAGGACATCTAGAAAGAACCGCTAAGAACATCCAAAATTCTCCAAAAAACGCCAGAAATACTGAGAATCTAGAAAGAAACACCAAAAAGTCAGCAGAAGTACCCCAAAAAACGCCGAAAGTACCAAGAACCTCCAAAAGTCATTAGAAGAACCTCCAGAAGCCACCACAAAATGCTGAAAATACCAAGAATCCAGAAAGAACCTCCAAAAAGTCATCAGAAGAACCTCCAAAATTCGCCAAAAAACGTCGAAGGTACCAAGAACTCAGAAAGAACCTCCAAGAATATCTAAAATTCGCCAAAAAGCGCCGAAAGCACTGAGAATTCAGAAAGAAACACCAAAAAATCGTCAGAAAAACCTCCAAAAGCCACCAAAAAAACATTGAAATTACCAAGAATCCAGAAAGCACCTCCAAAAAGTTGTCAGAAGAACCTCCAAAATTTGCCAAAAAACGTCGAAGGTACCAGGAACCCAGAAAGAACCTCCAAGAATATCTAAAATTCACCAAAAAACGCTGAAAACACTGAGAATTCAGAAAGAAACACCAAAAAATCGTCTGAAGAATCTCTAAAATTCGCAAAAAACGTCGAAAGTACCAAGAATCCAGAAAGAACCTCCAAGAACATCTAAAATTCGCCAAAAAACGCCAGAAGTACCGAGAATTCAGAAAGAAACATCAAAAAATTGTCAGAAGAACCTCTAAAAGCCACTAAAAACACCGGAAGTACCAAGAATCCAGAAAGAAACACCAAA